AACAAGACGATTTCTACCTTCCAGACGATCAGTAATGCCTGGGATGAGTCTCTGGGTGGTTCCAAGTTTGACCTGCGTTTGGCTGAGCACCTGGCGAAGGAGTTTAGTGAGAAGATTGGCGAGGATATCCGCAAGGTGCCTCGTCCGATGGCCAAGATCCGTGCTCAAGCCAAAAAGACCAAGACGGTGCTGTCGGCCAATGAGGAGATCCCTGTGGTCATGCAGAGTCTGTACAATGACATTGACTTCTTCACGTCCATGACTCGCTCCAAGCTCGAGGAGCTTTCTTCGGACCTGTTTGACCGCACCTTGAAGCCTGTGGAGGTGGCTCTGGAGAAGGCTGGGCTGACTGCTGCCGACATTGACGAGATTGAGATCATTGGTGGTGGTGTGCGTATGCCCAAGATCCAGCAACAGCTCACGGAGTTCTTCGACGGCAAAGATCTGGGTGTGCATCTGAACGGTGACGAGGCGATGGCTCTAGGTGCCGCTTTCCGTGCCGCCAACCTCAGCAACTCGTTCCGTGTGCGTCAAGTGGGAATGACTGACATTGCGTCGTACCCGATCGGTGTGCGTCTTGTGGATCTGTCGGCTACTGAGCCCACGGACAGCAACAACGACGATGAGGTGGAGACCAAGCAGTGGATGAAGCGTGCAGCTCTGTTCTCGGAGTCGCACCGCCTCGGTCTGCGCAAGTCTGTGTCGTTCTCGCACTCGAAGGACGTATCCTGCACGTTCCGCTACGACAAGCCGTCGATGCTTCCTGCCGGTGTGAGTGTACAGATCGCCAAGTTCAACATCACGGGCGTTGAGAAGTTTGCCGCTCGTATGGCCGAGAAGAACCTGGGCGAGCCTAAAGTGACGCTCTCTTTCGAGCTGGACAGCAACGGTATTGCTCAAATTGCCAAGGCTGAAGCCACGCTAGAAGAGGAGGTTGAAGTTGAAGTGGTTGTGAAGAAGGAGAAGAAGAGCAAGAAGACGAAGAAGGAAGACAGCAGTGCTGACAGCAGCGAAGCTGGTGACGAGGAGGAGGCCGAGGAAAAGCCAGAGACGAGGATGGAGAAGCAGATCAAGACGCACCGTGAGAAACTGACGGTGGTGCGTGCACACGAGACGCGTGAGCCTGAAGAAGGCATGAGTGTGCTGTCTATGAGCGAGGCTGTCAAGAAGGAGTCGATGCGTATGTTGAACGAGATGGAGAAGGCCGACAACAAGCGTCGTGCTGACTTGGAGGCCAAGAACAACCTCGAGACCTTCATTTACAAGGCTCACGATGCTCTGTCCGCCCAGGAGAGCGACATTAAGCAGGTTACGGTGCCGGAGCAAATTGAGTCGCTGCAGACCAAACTGGACGAGACGGAGGAATGGCTGTACGATGACGGCGACAAGGTGGAGGCTGCTGAGTACAAGAAGAAGATGGATTCACTGGACTCGGACCTCAGCGCCATCCTCTTCCGCGTGGCGGAGCTGAAGGAGCTGCCGATCGCCATCAACACTGCGCAGGAGTACGCCTTCAGCACGCGCGAGCTCATGACCGAGTGGAGCACGAGCAAGCCACAGGTGACGGACGAGGAGCGCAGTGACGTGCTCGAGAAGATTGACGAGCTGGAGGCGTGGCTGACCGAGTCGGAGGCGTCGCAGAAGGCTGCTCCCAAGTACGAGAAGCCTGTGGTGACGTCGGCGGACGTGGCCAAGAAGGTCCAGGGCGTTAAGAAGTTCGTCGCCGTCCTGGCCAAGCGACCGAAGCCACAACCGGTGAAGACCGACAAGAACGACACCGAGAAGGACGACTCCAAGACTGAGGAAGAGACCTCGTCCAAGGATACCGACACTGATGAGACCGCTGAACCTGAGGTCAAGGAGACCGAGGAGAAGGAGTCTACTGACGAGAAGGATGAATTGTAGAAAAGACACACACAAACCATTCGCAAGGACCTTATCAAAATAAAGAAACCTGTACGCCTTGCAACCTTTACTCTCCTAATACCGGTACTTGATCTTCCTCACGTAAACGCATTACCGTACTCCACTCGGTAGTTTCTTTTAGTAATCGGTACAAAGCCTTCTATAAAGCTCGTGTACAAGACCACCACTTCATTCGGGTCCAGTCCGAGCCACGAGACGAACGGTGCAGCCTTCACCACGTCCTCCAGCTCCTCTGCAACCCCCACTTTACGATATCTCCGCAGTAACACTCCTTTGCCCTGTGGTTTGCACTGCACAAACATCGTTCCTACTCCATTCACCACTGGACACATGTAATACCGGTTTACACGCTGTCGATCCACTTTGCAATGCAAGGACGTCATCTTGTAGAAAACATCTTCGCGTTTCGGGTGGAACTTTTTGTCTTGCACCACCTTGCAGTACAGATCATAGAGCGCATAGGGTCCAGCGTTCGGAATGAAGTTCACGTTGTCCTCGTTGGCAATGGGGCGGGTGAAGGTATCGACAAACTGTGCGATAATTGTCGCAACTGGTCGAGGAGGAGTAGAATTACGTCGTGTCGGCGGGGT